CGACCACGACTACGCCTGCGACTACGGGTACTACTACTACCACCACGACTACGACTACTACCACTACTTCTACAACTACTACGAACACCGCTATGAATAATTAGTACCATTGATAATCTTAGTAATACTAGTGGTAGTAATAGGAATTCCTTTACGAACACAAATACATCTACTACGGATATTAATCATAGAGTTCTTAGTCGTGAAATATGATCACGGTAATGATGATAATGACAGACTTATGAATCAGACACACTATAGTCTAAAGGCAGTCATATTTCAATGAAACTATGCGTGACACTCGTGCTACTACCACTCATTTTATTACTACTACGACCATCAAGAATACTATGAGCAGTCGAAATACTAGCAATCATACAATTACAGTACTAACCATCACAATTCTCACATGGAAAGGGTAATCCTCATTTTAATAAGAGCAAGACGCGGAAAGCAGATGAGGATGATGATGCTGATTATGTTGATGTTGATGCTGATGCTGATGATGATGGTGGTGATGATGATAATGATGATGATGATGATGATGTTGATGATGATGATGATGATGATGATGATGATGATGATGATGATGATGGTGCTGCTGCTGATGACGAGGCTGGTGATGATGGTGCTGCTGCTGATGATGATGATGATGATGGTGATGATGATGGTGAGGATGAGAAGGGAGAGGAGCAGGAGGAGGAGGAGGAGGAGGACGAGGAGGAGGAAACTGAAGCCGTTGACGGGCCAGGCCTGCCTCCTCACCCGCCCTTCTGCTCACCCCTGCTCCCCCTTCACCCCTCACGTGCGATGGCATGGCAGCTCTTGCCGCCTCGCGGCCAGTGCCAGCGCCAGGCCAACCCAGAGCTCGCGGCAGAGCTCTTGCGCAGCCTGCTCGGAAACGCGCTCGGGGCCGGCGCCGGGGGGGCGGGCGAACCTCGACGAGCCGAGTGGCGCTGCGGCTGCGGAAGCTGCAGCGCTACGATCTGGGAAGGACGGGCGGACCTGCCCGAGATGCGGCGCTGCGCGCCGCGGGGCAGCTGCCACTTGCCCCCCTCCCCCCCCCCCAGGCCAGTCAAAGGGGGACGGAAAGGACGGAAAGGCCAATGTGGAGGCCCGGAAGGGCGCTGCTCCCCGACTTGGAGGCGCCGCCAGGGGTGGCGGCGGCGGCTCTTCGCCCGCCCGCGCTGGAGGTGGCGACCGCGGCCAGCGCTGCGGCGAGGCGCTCTGCTGGAAGGCTCGCCGGGCCTGGCTCTGCCTCCGGGGCGGGCGCGCAGCGGCGGAAGAGAGCGGGCCTGGCAGCGCGTCCGCGAGGAGCGCGGCCACCTCGTAAACCGCCGGGTCCGCGGGGTGGCCTGGGGCCGTCGGGCCTGGCGTTGCGCTGGGTGCAACGCGCGCGGGATCGGGGCGGCGCGGCTGGGCGCCCGCGCCAGCTTCGGCGGCGGCTTGGCCGCCGATCGGCAACAGGCCATCGTCGACCTCGAGGTGCAACGGCCCGGCCACCCTCGGGTGCTCTTCGACGTCGCCGACTGGTGCAGCGTACCTGGTGACGCCGATGCGCTGCAGGCCGCTGCCTGCCGCGACGGGACAGTTAACGCTTCCGCTGAGGCGGAGGAATACGGCGTTTCCCAGGCGGGCAGACGCCGTGGCGCATATGGCGCCGCTGGCGCTGGAGATTGGTGGGCGGCTCGGCCAAACGGCCCTGCGCCGCCTGCGCGGGCTTGCCTGGCAGCGGGCAGCGCTGCTCGAGGCGGGCGACGACCGCGCGCCCGAGGCCTTGTGCAGCGGGCCCGTTGGGGCCGAGGGCTCAGCGTGGCCTTCCGTCGGGCCGCGGCCCGACAGCGCGCGCCTGCGGGGCGGGCGGCGCTGGCCGGGCAGCTGAATTGCCAGGCGTGTTCGCGGTCGCCTGCCGTTTCGACGTGTCCCTCGTGGGGATCAGCGTCCGCGTGGGGGCGCGCGCGGGGCGGGCTTCGGCGAGAGACCCGCCGCGCCGCTTGCAGGAGTGCAGGGGGAGAAGGATGAGGAGGAGGAGGAGGAGGAAGAGGAGGAGGCGGAAGAGGAGGAGGAGGAGGAGGAGGAGGAGGAGGAAGACGGCCACTGTAGCCACTGTAAACTCAAGACCCATCAACGATGTTGGAATGTAACTGCCCTCCCAGCTCCCTTTTCGGAGGCCAATACAGTAATTCGTTTCCATGGAGGGAAATGCCCCATGGGGAGACGACCGTTTGAAGATCCTGAAGCGTGCCGAAACATTACTCTCATAGCTTCAACGCCACGAATCAACATGACTGTTGCGTCTTGACGATCCCGAATCATCCGGGGTACTCCAACACCTCGAATCAACGTAATTGTTGCGCCCTGACAGTCCTGAATCGTTACAGAGTTCCATGTGCTGTACGATGTCCATGAAATGAAATTCAGTGAACAATATTTCATGTTTATAAACATTTGTGGCGCTAAAGCGAGATCTGCATTTTGAAACCAGACCGCCCTCCATGTGTGAAAACCTTGTGCATTTGTATGAATCATGTGCGCGGCGCGACGGCGATAACTACATTTTGAAAACGAGCCGCCCTGAATCCGTGAAGATCCTGCGACGTTTTAGAAACAATGTGCGCGGCGTTAGGCCGAGAGCCACATTTTGAAAACGAACCGCCTTCCTGCGGAGTTTTCGCAAGAATGTGCGCGGCGGTAAAGCGGGAACCACATTTTGAAAACCACCCGCATTCGATCCGTGAAACGTTTTGCACATATTTGAAACGTATGTGCGCAGCGCTAGAGCGAAAACCACGTCTTGCAAGCGACCCGCTCCATGTGTGAAATCGTCGTCAGTTGTACAATTTGAGGTCCAAAATTTGTTAGAGAGTCTCGGGCCAAACGCCCGGCCCGCCCTTCCGATTGGCTTCGGGGTGTGACAGGGAGGAGTGATTCATAAGGAGCCGGAGTGAAGGACCTCTTGGAGTCCGTTTGGTGGCTTCCCTGGACCTGTCAGGGGCCTCCGGAGGATTCCTGGGGGGCATCTCTCGGCGGACCCGTGGCCCCCTGGTGCGCTTCAGGGCCGACTTGGAAGTTTCTTGGATCGTCTTGGGGCCCTCGTGGGACAATCCGGGGGGCCTCCCCGGCGGCTTCGGGGCCGTCTTGACCCGTCTGCGGCCAAATCGGAGATCTCTCGGGCCATCTTGGGACCATCTTAAAAGCATCGTAAGCCGTCTTGGGCGACTGGAAATCGAAAAGGAGCGGCGCCCAAATCCTCAAGAATAATTATTGGAAATCAATGGTTTCGAGCTCCTCGGGCCATCCCAGAGGTCCTACTGGAGGCCTCTTGGGCAGCCTTGGAGGCCGCTTGGGGCCATCTTGGAGCCATCTCGGGCCGTCCTGGGTGCATCTTGGGCAGCTTTGGTACTTCATGGGGCCGTGTTGGCCGCCTCTGGGGCCATCTTGGCCAACACGTCGTTCTCCCCGGGAGGGCTGCAGACGCCCCTGGAGGCCTCGGGAGACCCCGGGAAGGGGGGGAACGCGTCGTGCGCACTCCGGATCCTCGACCCTCCTGAACTGCCACCTGCAGATGATCGCGCTGATGAGAAGGCGAGGCGAGCCTGCACTTGCCTTCGCGCGTTTGAGGATGGAACCCTGTCGCAGGCCTGGAGGTTGACACCAACGCCAATATCGGCGGTGCGCCGATCCTCGGCCCTCGCCGAGCCTCGAGCCTCGAGCGTCGAGGTTCCCTCTCGCCCCTGTGGAGGCAGCCCCCTGTGGAGCCGAAATCTAGGATCCTCTCCCCCCTGTGGAGGCACCCCCCTGTGTTGGTGTTGGTGCCCAATTCCAGGCCTCCAGCACCAGCGTCCGAGAACGGACCTCTGACGACTGCCGCTCCGTCCACCGGCCCCCCGCGAGCTGACCAGCGTGGTTTTTGATTCAAAGGGCAGCCATTTGAAATCCACACGTCTTGGCTACTTGGCTAGAAATTTGGCTTGAGCGATCCTCGACCCTCGCCGAGCCTCGGGCGTCGAGGGGCCCTCTCCCCCCTGTGGAGGCCGAAATCTAGGATCCTCTCCCCCCTCCTGTGAGGCAACCCCCCGTGCTGGTGTTGGTGCCCAATTCCAGGCCTCCAACACCGGATCCGAGCCTCGAGCGGCGAGGGGCCCTCGCCGAGCCTCGAGCGTCGAGGGGCCCTCCCGCCCTCCCCGACCAGCGCTCCTCCAGCGTCGTCGCGGGGGCTGCGACCCTCGACTCCCCCCCCCCGTCGTGCCTGCCCTCCCCCGGGTCCCCTCGGTCCCCGACCTCCTTCGACCTTCCCTGTCGGGCGCGGCCACGAGGGGGGGCGACGACGTGGGGGGGTCTCTTCCTCCTCCTCCTCGTCTCCTCTCCTCCTCCTCCTCCTCCGCCTCCTCCTCCTTCTCCTCCCCCTCCTCCTCCTGCTCCTGCTCCTCCTCCTTCTCCTCCTCCTCCTCCTCCTCCTCCTCCTCCTCCTCCTCCTCCTCCTCCTCCTCCTCCTCCTCCCCCCTGTCTCTCATGGCGTCTCTTCTTCTTTCGGTGCGTCCCTGGCCCGCCACCCCCGGGCCGCGCACGTGCCGCAGGCCATGATTTGCGCTCCCCCCCCGCCTTGGACGCCCCCGTCTGTTGGTCCGGCGGCGAGCCTGGGGGGGGACGTGAGAGGGGGCGGGCCTTCTCAGCAGGCTCGGAGGGCCTCTGGCTTTCTGAGGAGTCTTCTCGGCCTTCCCCGACGGCGCGCACGGCCTCTCTGAAGGCCAGAGGGCCTCTGAGAAGCCCCGCCGCCTTCTGAGAAGGCCTGCCCCTTCTCGCTTCCCCTGGGGCCAGGGGGCCACTTGCGAACCCTACCCCTACCCCCCGCGATTTCTGAGGGGGAGGGTTCGCATGTGGCCCACTACCGGGCTCGCCGCCCACTGGTCGTCGTCGCCAGCGGTTCGAGCGATGCGAGACGAGGGGCTTCAGCCGCCGGGCAGAGCCTCGCAGGGGGCGGAGGGGCCCCCGGCGCGGAGGCCCTCAGGGACGCCATCTCGATGCTGCGGGGTCAGGGCCTCATGGACATGGACGCCCTTATCGCGCTGGGGGAGGAGGCGGCCCCTTCGAGGGTGGGTGGGTGGGAGGGAGAGAGGAAAGGGTGCCTGGGCCAGGATCGCGCCTCGAGCTCCGACCTTTTTTTGGGGGGGGCTGTTCCTGGTTTTGCGTTCTGTGGGCTTCGGGGAGTTCCTCCCGTGGCCACGGCTGCATCCGCATCGAAATGTTCAGAACGCACTCCGAACCTGGAAGTGTCCAATGATAGCACCACTTTGAAAAGAAACCAGCCTGCATCCATGCAGCTGTTGCGCAAACTTATATTTATGTTCACTCGCTTTACTGTTTGCCTGCGTGGATCCCACAGTTGGTTCATGCACTCTCGGTGTACAATCTGTTCGGTGGAACCATGTGGTACAGCCTTAGGGCGGCAACACGGCGCAAGCAATGCCACCCAACCATAATGTACATAAGAACCCTTTAGGCCCTTAGCGCAAACATTCTTTTGAGAGTGACATCTCAAGCGTGAGCCCATTGTGAACATGAGCAGCCCTCCATCCGTGTAGTTGTCATACATTCTTTAATTCACGTAGTACTTCTTCACGCTTCGCGTATCTCCACCAGTGGCGACTGCTCCCTCCGTCCGTTTTCTAGTTTGATACCTGCGTTCCCCGTTTCGGGTCGCCTGCGTCTTAATGAGGGTATTTTGTCCCTGGCACGTGCACCCGCTGCTGCGGCCTATGGGCCCCAGCAGCTAATTTTCTCGCCCTGTGCCCCTGTCGAGACCATCCCGCTCCTTGGAGCCGTCCTTGTGAGCCGCCAATCAGAAAAACATATCTCCACCAGCCCTCCGTAGCCCCCTCTTGCTCAAGCCATCTCGGCTCGAGCACGCCCCCCTTTCAGGTGCGCGCCTGCCGGGGCTGCTACTTCTCGGCCGTGATGGCTCTGCACCCGTGGGGCTGGAGCGGCCGCGCTGCCGCAGGCTCCCCCGGCCGCTGGCAGCAGGCAGGGGAGCAATGGGGCCGAGGGCGCCCCTCTGACCCGTGGGCGGAGGCCGCAGCTTCCCTCGGCGGGGCGGCGCCGCGGCCGAGGGCCGCCTGTCAGGCCGCCGCCGGCTGGCCGCCTCCGGTGGCCGCCGGCCGGCCGCCGACGCAGGCGGGCCGCGGTACAGACGTCGCACCTCGGGCGCAGTCCCTGGAGGCCGTCTCGGCACGACGCTGACGGCAGCGTGGTGCGGCTGCCCTGCGCTGGAGGGAGGAGCAGCTGCCTCTCCGTGGCGCTTCTCTCTCGGAGGATGCTGGCTTGTGGCGGAGCTGGGCCGAGGGGTTGGCGGCCGTCCGCGCTGCAGGTGCCCATTCCGCTTGCGACCACTGCAGTACTCCGACCTTTGGGTGCAGGTGCTGGGCGCGTGGCGCTTGGACTCCTTCTGCCGCCGCAGGTGGGGGGCCCCAGGTGGCTTCAGCGACGGCGCAGGCGGCCGCCGGCTGGGACGGGACGGCTGGCGCTTCAGAGCATGCTGCGGCCCCTCGGTCCGACGAGGAAGGCGCGAGGCTCGTTGGCGAACAAGGTGCCCTTGCATCCCCGTGTCCAGGTCCCGACGCCCTCACGGGCACCCCTGGCGGCCAGCAGACCTTTCAAAGCGTGCAGACGGCCATCAGCCATGATCCTGGCATCCCCCTGATACAAAACGACCAGACGGCCATCAGCCGTGATCCTCACAGTTCTGACTGTCAGAAGGAGGCACCCTTGCTCCCTGACGCCCTTTCGGGCACCCCTGGCGGCCAGCAGGCCTCCCAAGAAGACGCGGCCCGTCAGGCAAGAAGGGAACGGAACGGTTGTAACGGTGCAGTGCGTTCAGACGGCCACCAGCCGTGACCCTGGTATCCATCTGGGGCAGCCAGAGTCGACGGCCATCAGCCGTGACCCTGGCGACGAGGAATCCGCGAGAGCTCAAGGCACCCTTGCATCCCAGTGCCCGAGCCATCCTCGCGACTCTGGCTGTCCGAAAGAGTTTCCCTCGCACCCTTGCAGCTTTGTGTCCGTGGGCGATCAAGGCACCCATGCCTCCCCGTGCCCGAGCGCTGCAGAGGGCAGGCCCGTGCTTGGAGACGGCCCCCGCCTTCTCCCTGACTGCCAGCTAGAGCTCGGATCGCAGCAGCGCCCGACGGCTGAGACCCGCGAGTGCCCAGGGAGCGTCGGTGCTTGGTCGTGTGGCCCCCCTCTTCGCCACGGCTGGGCGCAACTCGGGAAGGGCGCTCTCGGAGCCCGCGAGGGGTCCGAGCTCCGACTGGAGGGTGCCACCGCGGGAAGGCACAATCGCCCTCGACTGGGCGCAGGTACACAGTCCGGATGAGTTCATTCAGACGGCCATCAACCGTGACCCTGGCACCCATCTGGAACAATCGGCGCTGACGGCCATCAGCCGTAAATCTGGCGACGAGGGATCTCGAAGAAAAACCGGGCCCGTTACGCCAGAAGGGAGCGCAGCGGTTGTGTCACCGAGCTCACAAGGAGAAGCTGGCCCCACTAAGCCAGAAGGGAACGGGGTTTCAGTCTCAGCGGTTCTCCAAGACAACATCGCGGCGGTTGGTGAAGCCCTGCCAGGCGCCCCCGGCGGCCAGCAGACCTCGTAAGGGAACTTAACGGTTGTGACTTTGGACTCGCAAGGAGAAGGAGGGCCCGACAGGCCAGAAGGCAGTCAGGGGGTCATATCGGAGCGTGCTGCTTTCAGAGGCAGCAGTCCTTCGAGCGAGCCACAGGCTGAAACGGGATTCGAATCCTTTTCGCGGCGGAACAGCAGACCCGCCTGGCAGAGACAGGACTCCGAGGCCATCCGCCAGTTTGTCGACCAAAACCCCTTCGCGCCCATTCGCCCTCCCTCCCCTGGCAGCGAATCCGCCCGAGCGGACAGCGAACCGCAATCCCTCCTTCTTGGAGCCTGGGCCTCGCCGGGGAAGGCGACGCCCACCCCGAAAGAAACAGTGTCTGACCACGTGCTTGCGCCTGGTGCGTTCCGCAGCACTCCCACATCGGGCGATAACCCCACGGCGACAGGTGCGGACGCGCCAGCGAGCGTGGACAGGCACAGGACTGGAGGCGAACGCCAGCGGGAAGGGCTAGTTCCCGCATGTCACACAGCAACGTTCCTCTGTGCCCCTGCCGCCCGAGGCGACCCGGCCCCGGCCTGGCGGCCATCCGCGCCGCCCGCTCTGGCCCGCATCGCCTCGCCAGGCGTCCCGGCCCCAGTAAACGCCGTCCCGAGCGAACCTCCGGGCCACTCTGTCGGCGGACGCCGGGACGGGTCTGACGATTCTAGGGGCCGGGCGGCAGGGCCTTCGGCGGAGCTCCCTATGGGGCCACGAACAGCGTGAGGGGTGTGCCGAGTTGGGTGGCGGTGACGCATGCGAACGTACCCACTGGGGCCTTCGATGGAGTTCCCTGATGGGGCCACGAAACGTGTGAGGGGTGTGCCGAGTTGGGTGGCGGTGACGCATGCGAACGCACCCACTGGGGCCTTCGGCGGTGCTCCCTCTGGGGCCACGAATCGTGTGAGGGGTGTGCCGTAATGTGTGGCGGTGACGCATGCGAACGCACCCACTGGGGCTTACGTTGGAGCTCCTGATGGGGCCACGAACAGTGTGAGGGGTGTGCCGAGTTGGGTGGCGGTGATGCATGCGAACGCACCCGCGGGGGCCTTCGGTGGAGCTCCCTATGGGGCCACGAACCGTGTGAGAGGGGTGTGCCGTAATGTGCGGCGGTGACTCATGCGAACGCGCCCACTGGGGCCCTCGGTGGAACTCCCTATGGGGCCACGAACAGCATGGGGTGTGCCGAGTTGGGTGGCGGTGACGCATGCGAACGCACCCACTGGGGCCTTCGGTGGGGCCACGGACCGTGTGAGGGATGTGCCGAACTGATGATGATGGTGATGATGATGACGATGATGATGGTGACGGTGATGCTGATGATGGGGAGAGGGGGGGGGCAACGGCAGGAAGGAAGGAAGGACGCGGGCGCTGTCTGTTCAAAACGAGGACCCAACTCCACAGGATGGTTGGGAAAAAAACCAACGGGAACAATTTTATTTTGCTCCATAGCCCTTCTGGGGGCTCTCTTGGGGCTCATTTGAAGTGTTTTGGCGGCGTCCCGGGCCATTCAGATATTCTTTTGGGTGTCGTGGAGTGCTTTCTGGACCTTCTCGGATCACTTTGGGCTTCCTTGGAGGTTTCTTGGGGCGCTCTTGGGGCGCTCTGGGCGGCCTGGAAAGCCGCACCCAGGAGCAAAACCATCTTCGAGTCAAGGGTGGCTGGGTTGCGGCTGGGGTGCTTTTTCATTCGGGAACTACCAGGGACGCCGCGCGCGCGAACTAGATAGACAATTCAACTGTTACCATAGATTTTAGCATGCGTCTGGCAGGCTGGGCTGGCGAGTCTCAAGGTGGGGTTAGGGAACATAACCAGCTGGATGCTCACGTTCCCTTCTTCCGTGGACCGTTTTGAGCGATTTTCCTCTAGCTTCTTTCTGCCCGGAGAGCAACGCGCAGCCTGCGTTCGGCGTCACATCGACATACAGTGCCGTTTTTAATACATGCTCCGCGTGCGGATCATGTATAAAAAATGCAGGGATTTAGTATTAAACACAGCCGTGAGTTTATGCATAAATGTATTCATCATTTAACCATGTATTAATCATTTTATTTTTCCCAACCATCCTGTGGTGTTGGGTCTTCGTTTTGAAGAGACGTCGCCCCGCGTTCCTTCCTCCTCCTCCTTCCTCCTCCTCCTCCCTCCTCCCCCCTCCTCCCCCTCCCACACCCATTCTGGCACACCCCTCACACGTTTCGTGGCCCCATAGGGAGCTCCACCGAAAGGCCCCAGTGGCTGCGCCCGCATGCGATTCCACCCCCCATTCTGGCACACCCCTCACACGTTTCGTGGCCCCATAGGGAGCTCCACCGAAGGCCCCAGTGGCTGCGCCCGCATGCGGTTCCACCCCCCATTCTGGCACACCCCTCACACGTTTCGTGGCCCCATAGGGAGCTCCACCGAAGGCCCCAGTGGCTGCGCCCGCATGCGGTTCCACCCCCCATTCTGGCACACCCCTCACACGTTTCGTGGCCCCATAGGGAGCTCCACCGAAGGCCCCAGTGGCTGCGCCCGCATGCGGTTCCACCCCCCATTCTGGCACACCCCTCACACGTTTCGTGGCCCCATAGGGAGCTCCACCGAAGGCCCCAGTGGCTGCGCCCGCATGCGGTTCCACCCCCCATTCTGGCACACCCCTCACACGTTTCGTGGCCCCATAGGGAGCTCCACCGAGGCCCCACCGCTGCGGCGCGAATTTCCTCCCGCATGCGGTTCCACCCCCCTGGCACACCCCTCACACGTTTCGTGGCCCCATAGGGAGCTCCACCGAAGGCCCCAGTGGCTGCGCCCGCATGCGGTTCCACCCCCCATTCTGGCACACCCCTCACACGTTTCGTGGCCCCATAGGGAGCTCCACCGAAGGCCCCAGTGGCTGCGCCCGCATGCGGTTCCACCCCCCATTCTGGCACACCCCTCACACGTTTCGTGGCCCCATAGGGAGCTCCACCGAAGGCCCCAGTGGCTGCGCCCGCATGCGGTTCCACCCCCCATTCTGGCACACCCCTCACACGTTTCGTGGCCCCATAGGGAGCTCCACCGAAGGCCCCAGTGGCTGCGCCCGCATGCGGTTCCACCCCCCATTCTGGCACACCCCTCACACGTTTCGTGGCCCCATAGGGAGCTCCACCGAAGGCCCCAGTGGCTGCGCTCGCATGCGGTTCCCCCCCCATTTCGGCACACCCCTCACACGGTTCGTGGCCCCATAGAGAGCTCCACCGAAGGCCCCAGTGGCTGCGCTCGCATGCGGTTCCACCCCCTTTTTCGGCACGCCCTTCACACGTCTCGTGGCCCCATAGGGAGCTCCACCGAACGCCGCAGTGGCTGCGCTCGCATGCGGTTCCACCCCCCATTTCGGCACACCCCTCACACGTTTCGTGGCTCCATAGGGAGCTCCACCGAAGGCCCCAGTGGCTGCGCTGGCATGCGGTTCCACACCCCATTCTGGCACACCCCTCGCACGTTTCGTGGCCCCATAGGGAGCTCCACCAAAGCTTTGCAAAGGTCCCAGTGGCACTGCCCGCTTGCGTCCGCCACCACCCAGCACAGCCCTTGTTCCCTGCGCTTCACCCACCCAGAACAGCGTTTCGTAGCCCTATACGGAGCTCCACCAAAGGTCCCAGCGGCACCGCCCGCATGCGTCCGCCACCACCCTGCACAGCCCTTGCTCCCTGCCTGCGTTTCACCCACCCAGTACAGCGTTTCGTGGCCCCATAGGGAGCTCCACCGAACGTCCCAGTGGCACCGCTCGCATGCGTCCGCCACCACGCAGCACAGCCCTTGCTGACCGCGTCTCACCCACCCAGTACAGCGTTTCGTGGCATATTACAAGGACGGTCGTACGATACGTTCGGGTCGGACGCGCGCCTCCAAGGAGGACCGCATCGTGTCAGTATGTTCGGGGTTGGAAAAGAGGGGGGTGAAGACTAGGGGGGGTGGATATCATGGCGGGGGCCATGATGTTTCCGCAGATTTCATGGCGCCTCTTCCTATTTCATTACGTCCCTGGGCCCCCCGCTGGGCCGCGCACATGCCGCCGGTCATGATTTGCACCCCCCGCTCTAGGACACCCCCCTCTTGGCCGCTCCCGATATGTCCTTGTGCGTCCCATGCGTTTCAGACGCGTTTGGCCCCCTCGATCTCGAGGCGGGGGGTTTCTCCACAGACTACCGCCCAGAGGAGCCGACCTCCGAGGCCTCGGCAGGCGGCAGGCATGGATCTATGAGGGCGCAGGGGGGGGGGGCCAAATCCAGGCAACCCGCATAGTAAGGACGAGCAACTCTCAAAGAGTTCCCTCTAATTGGAGAGGCCGACGGCCGGTGCCGCCGACCCTGATCGGAAGGGCTAGGAGTGGGGGGAGGAAGCGGAGGATGATGATGATGATGATGTTGAGGAGGAGGAGGAGGAGGAGGAGGAGGAGGAGGAGGAGGAGGAGGAGGAAGAGGAGAAGGAGGAGGAGCAGGAGGAGTAAGGATGAGCAGCTCTCAAAGAGTTCCCTCTATCCACGTGGATTTCGTTCCGCGGTCATCGATGGTCCAGGGGCCCGAAGCGTGCCTCTGGAGGCTTGGGGGTCTGGCATCAGTGCCGCTGTTTTGAGGCTCCAGTCGAGCCGGGGCTGCTGGAAAGGTTCCTGGTGCCCGAAGAAGCGCAGAAAGCCAGCGAGAGCATCATACAGTCAACCCGCGTATCAAGGATGAGCGGCTTTACAAGGTTATCCTTGCATCCTTTCCTTTCGGCCCATCCTTGGCCACTTTCGCTGGCCGCGCCACGCTCGCAGAGTGTCGACATGACTTTCCAAGGCCCATGCATCCTTAACCTCTAAGGGTCTTTCGTTTTGATTCTCCCCTTTTTCACTCGGCAGCGAACAGGACTGGTCCTAAAACTCTCCCCTGCTCCTCCTCTTCTTCCTCCTCATCGTCCTCCTCTCCTCCTCTCCCCCTCCTTGCTGCTGTCTTCGTCGTTGTCGTCGTCGTTGTCGCACGGCGGGTACCGCGGAACCCCCCTGTTGTTGGGACTCCAGTCCGTGAATGAGGCCGCCGACAAAAATGATTAGTTATCCCTATCAGGGGGGTTCTGGTTACGGGTTGACTGCAACACCGTTGCACACTTCCAGACACTTTTTTCTTCAGGGGAGGGGGGCCGAGGGTGACCGCGGCGCCCACAGGCCACAGCGGAGCCGCAGCGGGGCGACGGTGTGGGGCCCCCGACGGCGCTGGAGGCGCTGATCGAGCGGGGCCTGGTCGAGGCGCGGAAAGGGGCGGGGCGGGGAGGGCGCAAGGGTGCGGGGAGAGTGGAGGGGACGGGGCGGGAGGGGGACGGGGGGCGGGAGGGAAGTGTGGCGGGAGGGGAGGCGGGGGGGAGGGACTGGGGAGGGAACGGGGGCCCGATCGAGGCGCGGAGGGGGCGGGGCGGGAGGGAAGCGTGGCGTGAGGTGAGCGCGCAGAGGCGCGACGAGCAACAAACGGCATAATCATATGCTTTCGGTCCGCGCGGATTTCTTGGACCGGCGCCTCCGGTGCCGCCCCTGGCGCGCTCCGCGCGCCAGGGAGAGGGGTCCAGCGCAGATCCAAGAAATCCGCCTGGACCGTCAAAAGTTTATGTGAATCCCAATATCTGTTCCTCCAAGTGTGGCGGGAGGGGAGGGCGCAAGGGTGCGGGGAGAGGGGAGGGGAGGTCGGCTGCGAGCGAGGGGAGGAAGTTTTCGAGGTTTTCGGGCATCTTCGTCGGTTCTCGGCGGTTTTCTAGCCTCGGGATGCTTGTTAGTAGCTGCGCCTCGTTGCGGGCGTTCCGGGGGTGCTCGGATTGTCCTGAATGCCCAGCGAAGATCCGAGTTATGACCCAAAAACCACATTCGGCGGTGCGCCTGGGAGGGAGGCGAGACGGAGAAGGCCTTCTCAGAGGGCGGCGGGGCTTCTCAGAAAGCCTCGGGCCTTTGAGAGTTTTTCTGCGTCTTCGTGGAAGGCTTAGAACACTTAGCGGAAGGCCAGGGGACTTCCGAGCCTTCTGAGAAGGCCCGCCCCTTCTCACTTCCCCCCCGGGCCCGCCGCCGAGGATGGGGTAGTGAGGGAGGCGGGGTGGGCCGGGCAGAACGAGAGGGCTTGGGGAGGCGTAGGGGAGGGCGGGGAGTTGAGAGGGCTGGGTGAATCTTCGGGAGCCGCCATGTGCCTGGCCAATGCGAGCCTGGGAGTCTCTCCAGGTGGCCCCCGGATTGCGAACGGCGCATGGCCAACGCAGTGGTGATGGCCGTGCCCGCCGGCGACCGCAGAACCGAATGCCGCCGCCGCCGCCGCCGCCGCCGCGGTCGTGGTCGTCGTCGTCGTCGTCGTCGTCGTCGTCGTCGTCGTCGTCGTCGCCGCCGCCGTCGTCGTCGTCGTCGTCGCCGTCGTCGTCGTCGTCGTCGTCGCCGTCGTCGTCGCCGTCGTCGTCGTCGTCGTCGTCGTCGTCGTCGTCGTCGTCGTCGTCGTCGCCGTCGTCGTCGTCGTCGTCGTCGTCGTCGTCGCCGTCGCGGCGCGGCAGGGCTCGGCGTGGCGCGGATGCGCCGAGGGCGCGCCGTGCCCGCTGTCGCGGCCCGCGGCGGAGGACGGCCTGCCATGCCCGGCGCGCGTGGCCGCGGCGTTCTGCCCGGCGGCGGGGGGCATCCGCCCAGGCGAGCCGCCTCCGGCTGCCTCTCAGGGGGGGCCAGGGGCGTGTCCGCTATAGCGTGCTGTGTTTCTCACCGCCTGCCAAGCCTGCTCCTCCTCCTCCGCCTCCTCCTCCTCCTCCTCCGCCTCCTCCTCCTCCGCCTCCTCCTCCTCCTCCTGCTCCTGCTCCTCGTCCTCCTCCTCCTCCCCCTCCTCCCCCTCCTCCTCCTCCTCCTCCTCCTGCTCCTCCTCCTCCTCGTCCTCCTCCTGCTCCTCCTCCTCCTCCTCCTCCTCCTCCTCCTCCCCCTTCTCCTCCCCCTCCTCCTTCTGCTCCTCCTCCTCCTCCTCCTCCTCCGCCTCCGCCTCCTCCGCCTCCTCCTCCTCCTCCTCCTCCCCTCCTCCCCCTCCTCCTCCTCCTCCTCCTCCTCCTCCTGCTGCTCCTCCTCCTCCCCTCCTGCTCTCTCCTCCTCCTCCCCCTCCCCCTCCTTCCCCCTCCTCCTCCTCCTCCTCCTTCCCTCCTCCTGCTCCTCCCCTCTCCTCCCCTCCTCCTCCCCCTCCTCCTCCTCCTGCTCCTCCTCCCTCCTCCTCCTCTTCCTTTTCCTCCTTTTCCTCCTCCTCCTCCACAACAATACTCACCCCCCAAACCACCCCAACCCGACGGCTCGAACTTGAACTCCATTCCCAGTGGGGGATCGGGGAGCATGGACAAACATACATAGGAAGCCTGCACCCCCAACACAACCCGAAAGTCGGGTCTTCGGGTTGGGTTGGGGTGGTCTGGTAGTTTGTGGCAATCGCTGCCCAAACGTGGCGTATACATTTGTTTCAATACTAGTCGTCTGGAGGGCCGACCTGCAAGTCATTCACTATACGGTGCTCTGGCGTTTCAGCGAGCCTTCATGGGGAAGGACCTAGATACCTTAGTGTATGTACGCGCGGTTCCCATCAGGGGCAACGGTATCTATGCCTCCCAGACCGGGTCAGAGTCGCAGGATCGCGCCGCACCGCCGATGCATCGCTGATTCTTCTCGACCACGACGTCGCCGATTCCTCGCCGATGCCTCGCCGAAGCATCGCCAGTGCATCGGCGATGCAGTGGGGATGCGGCAGGGGGCATCCGCCCAGGCGAGCCGCCTCAAGCTGCCTCTCATCGAAGAGCAGAAAACGACATAAACACAAGTTGTCGGAGGTCCGCTTTGGAATACGAGAGTTTCTGTTTGTGCAGTGCTTTCCTTTTCATTTCAGGGGCCACGATAGCGTCTCCCAGGGCCACCCCGCGACGACCGCCCCACGATTCCTCCTCACACTCGCAGTCGGATTCTGGAGGGTTCGATCACGCATCAGAGGCGCGGGCGAACGTCGTCACGAGTCGCATACAAACCACGTTCGCGCCTCGGGTTGCACGAGACTGGACTGCAACCGCCGCGCTACAGCAGGCGCGAGGTCTGATGCGCGTTTACACCTTGCCCGTATCGGCACCCCCGCTCAGGGTCAGTGTCATTGGTCAGGAGTGGAAAAAGCAAGGACGCCCTCGAGGGCGCGAAGTTATTTGCGCTTCGTGCTTCGCGGTTCGGCTCGGATTCCTCCTCATCCTCCTCTTCTCTCCTGGTAGGCGGCGCGAGAGCGCGACGTTAGTCGCACTTCGCGCTTCGCGCAGCGCGAAGCGCGAAGTTGGGAGCCTTTGAACAAAAACACACAGACACAATTGGTCGTCGATCCCCAGGAACACATGGGGAAATATGGGAAGCGGGGGGGGAGACGAGAACCCAGAAGACATGGGGAAGTGTGGGGAATCTTCTTGTTTGTGTGCATCTATATATATATATATGTGTGTTTGTGTGCCCCAGGGCCCCTTCAACTGAGGGGGGGGGATAGGCTCAGGGGGAGATGCGCCGGCCCCCGATCGCCCGTGCCTCGCCGAGGTGGGCCCGCGGCACTCCACCCTGGCCAGGAGCGCGCGGCTTCGCCGCTGGGGGCCCAACGCAGATGCATCGGCGATGCATCTCCGATTCCAGCTCGAGGACCTCAGGATGGGAAAAAAACACGCGGACACAATTCATCGTCGACTCCACAGAACATAGGGGAAAGGATGGGAAGTGGGGGGGAAAACTTTTTTGATCCGCGGGTCGAGAGCGCACCTCGTCCGGTCGAAGCTGAGCGGGCCGCGCACAGCTTTCGTTGACAGGGGGGAAGGCAGAAGGAGGGGCCTCACGTCAAGGCCAAGAGAGGGCAAAGCCCCGGAATCAGGCGGTGGTGGGGGGGAAGACAAAAACCACGAACATACGTAGCACCCCGCAATTGCGGATAAGAGTGAGGGGGCGGGCGCGGGCGACGCGGGCGTCGTCAAGCCGGCGGACCTCCTGGCCCCCACCTTCCTTGTCGATGGTGCTCTCCTCCTCCTCCTCCTCCGCCTCCTCCTCCTCCTCCTCCTCTTCCTCGTCCTCGCCCTCGTCCTCGTCCTTATCGTCATCGTCGTCCTCCTCCTCCACCTCGTCCTCCTCCTCATCCTCCTCTTCTTCCTCGTCCTCCCTCTCCCCCCCTCGTCCTTCCATCATCGTCCTCCCATTGTCGTCATGTTCCTCCTCGTCGTCCTCCTCTTCCCCCCCTCCCGATCCTCCCCCCTCCTCCTTTTCGTCGTCGTCGACGTCGTCGTCGTCGTCGTCGTCGTCCTCGTCGTCGTCCTCTTCCTCCTCCTCCTCCTCCTGCAAAAGCAGCCCGCCGCAGGCGCCGAAAAAATTGGTTTGTACACTGAACGTGGTTTGGGTCGCGGGTGGGCCGCGGATTCTCCACCGGGAACGAATGCAAAAGATGCCCGCCGCAGGCGCCGAAAAAATTGGTTTGTACCCTGAACGTGGTCGCGGGTGGGCCGCGGTCTCTCCACCTAGAACGAATGCAAAAGATGCCCGCCGCAGGCGCCGAAAAATGTGGTTTGTACTCTGAATGTGGTTTGGGTCGCGGGGTGGGTCGCGGGCTCTTTACTTGGAAGAAATGCAGAAAAAGCCCGCCGCAGGCGCCGAAAATGTTGGTTTGTACCTTGAACGTGGTTTGGGTCGAAGGTGGGTCGCGGGTGGGTCGCGGGTGGGTCGCGGGTGGGTCGCGGGTGGGTCGCGGGGTGGGCCGCGGGCGGGTCGCGGGGTGGGTCGCGGGTGGGTCGCGGGTGGGTCGCGGGTGGGTCGCGGGGTGGGTCGCGGGGTCGGTCATTGGGTGGGTCGCGGGTGGGTCGCGGGTGGGTCGCGGGGTGGGTCGCGGGTGGGTCGCGGGGCGGGTTGCGGGTGGGACGACGACCACAAACAACAACAACAACAAACAACAACAAACAACAACAAACAACAACAAACAACAACAACACGAATCCGCACCGCGGAATCCCACTTCAGCCACGCACCCAGACAGTGAATGACCGTTTGGCCCCCTCACTCTGATGGGAAAATATGGGGAATCTTTCTACTTGTGTGTGATTTGTATTTGTGTGTCCCAGGGCCCCATTCAGATTCCACCCCTGAGCCAGGTCTCCCCAGAGCCCCCCATGAGCCGCCCCGGGGCACGATGTCCTCGGGAGTCTCCCGGAGTCCCGCCGGGACTCCCCTCGGAGTCTTAATCGCAGGCCTAGAGGTTGACACCAACACCAATGTCGGCGGTGTGCTTCCACCGAGGGAAGGAGATCCCGATCTCGGTGATGGTGGCAGTACTTTGGCTTCCAAGGCGACCGAAATATTACCACCAACACCGAAATCTAGGATCATCTTCCCCCTGTGGAGGCAACCCCCTGTGTTGGTGTTGGTGCCCCTTTCCAGGCCTCCGAGTCGTCGCACGAGCTCACGGGCTGCATCCCTCTCGCTCGGCTCCTGGAGGCCTCTCGAGCAAGTTCGGTTCTCTCGAGGGATTCTGTGGGTCCGAATCCGAGCCCGAGTCTGAATTCGAATGCGAATGAAAGGCCGGTCTGCGGACCCGCTCCCGAATGCGAGTCCGAGGCCGATCCCGAGTCCGAGCCCGTGCTCGAACATGACCCCAAGTCCGAAGTTCGAGTGCGCGATCGATCGGAGAATCTTTGTCACACTCGTATGCTACTGCGGTGCCCTGCTGGGGTCATATACCTTTTGCTGCCGTCAGAAGAGCCCTTCTCGCCTGCCGACGAGTGGCGGCGACGACGGCGACATCTACGGCGTCGACGGCGGCGACGACGTGGAAGCTCGGACGCTGCCTGGCGATGCCGTGCTCGACGAGCCCCGCAGGCGACTTGCCCGCCCTGGCGCTGCTGCGCTGGTGCCAGCTCTACGGCCATGCGCCCATATGCCTGGTGGACACGGCGGCAGCGGCCGCGTCCTCTGGGGCTGCGCCAGTCGAGGAGCGGTTGTCTGGTCGTCGCCGACGTCGTTGCCGCCGTCGCCGTCGCCGTCGCCGTCGCCGTCGCCGTCGCCGTCGTCGTCGCCGTCGTCGTCGCCGTTGCCGTCGCCGTCGCCGTCGCCGTTGCCGTCGCCGTTGCCGTCGCCGTCGCCGTCGCCGTTGCCGTCGCCGTCGCCGTTGCCGTTGCCGTCGCCGTCGCCGTCGCCGTCGCCGTCGCCGTCGCCGTCGTCGTCGGCGTCGTCGTCGTCGTCGTCTTTCGCCGCGCTCGGCCAGGACCTGGACCGCGGCGCCCAGCGACTCCGCGCCGCGCTCCAGCGCGCCCTGCGCACAGAGGCGGCCTGGCGCCTCCTGCGCGCGGTCGCGCGCTCGTCGTCGTCGTCGTCGTCGTCGTCGTCGCCGCCGCCGTCGTCGTCGTCGTCGTCGTCGTCGTCGTCGTCGTCGTCGTCGTCGTCGTCGTCGTCGTCGTCGCCGTTGCCGCCGCCGCCGCCGCCGTTGCCGCCGCCGTCTCCGCCGCCGCCGCCGCCGCCGCCGCCGCCGTCGTCGTCGTCGTCGTCGTCGTCGTCGTCGTCGTCGTCGTCGTCGTCGTCGTCGTCGTCGTCGTCGTCGTCCCGGGGCGGCGCGGCGACCCGCGCGAGCGTCAGGACCCCTTGTGCCTTGGGGGAAGGAATTCCAGGATCGGCTTTTGGATGGGGAGGGCCCAGACATGTGGGCTTCGAGAACGATTCCGGGTGCTGGTTTGGCGTCCTGGGGAGTGCTCCGTGGTCTGATCGGCCCGCGGCCGAAAAGCCGTCCTTCGGATTGGGTCGAGAGTTCCGCTCCGTCCGTCCCGCGCAGTAAGCAGCCAGCACTCGCGTCTCTTCCTCCCGCCCGCGTACGTACCAGACGAGCGACCGGAGCGACTTCGCGCCCCCCCCGGAAACGCGAGTCTTTTTATTGGATCTCGCAATTTTTCCCAACCGTCCTGTGGTGTTGGGTCCTCGCTGTGAAGAGAGATCTCCGCGACTCCTCCTCCTCCTCCTCCTCCTCTTCCTCCTCCTCCTCCTTCTCTGGTAATGGCATGAAGTGCCTCTGGGCTGTTTTCAACGCCTCTGGGGCGGCAACGCGTTTGCTGCCCCAGGGAGGCTTTGAATAGGAAAGCGCAAAAAAGAGGAGGAAGGAGGAGGGGAAGGAGGATGGAACTGGTATTTTTCGGGAGGCTAACAAAAGGAGGGGAGGGAAAATGCGTGGGTGGAAAAGAGAGAGGGGGTCACATGATATAGACAATTAATCACATACGATCACCAACATGTAGGAAGCACATGCGGTCGCGTGCAGCATCTCTCTGGCTGGTTATGTGTTTTTTGTAGAGTTTGGGCTCAGGTCACGATTGCCACCTTGTTCTGGGCACTGAAGGACAATGTGGGCAGAAAATGCTGGAACAAGAGGCCTTACGCGGCAGCGTTTTGGGTATCTGAGGGCCGTAGGAGTCTTGGGGCCATAGGCGGCGTCTTGGGGTCTTTAGGCGCCTTGGGCATCGAAAGTAGAGGAAGTGACAGACGTCTGGGCAGGACGGATATAAAGTGCCAGACGTCTTTGACTGGACGGATATAAACTGCTGCCGCGCATACACACACACACACACGCTTTGGGTACCTAAGGGCCTTAAGCGTCTCGGGGCCTTCTGCGGCGTCTTGGGCCCTTAGGCGGCGTCTTGGGGCCTCAGGCGTCTAGGGTATATAGGGCCGACTAATTGACAGACGTCTGGGCAGGACGGATTTAAAGTGCCAAACGTCTTTGACAGGGCGGATATACATTGCCGCGCATACACGTACACACCACACACGCTTTGGGCACCTCAGGGCCTTAAGCGTCTCGGGGCCTTGGGCGGCGTCTTGGGGCCTTAGACGGCGTCTTGGTGCCTTGGGCGTCTTGGGTATCTAGGGCAGAGTCTCCAGAATAAGTGACAAACGTCTGGGTAAGACTGATATTAAGTGCCAAACGTCTTTGGCAGGACGGATTTGCAGTAAGTGCCAGACGGCTGATGTGATATTGATATGTCTACGTAGGAAAAACATTCGAAGCAGCTTTGCCCCCGAGGTATCGGTTTCTTGCCCAAACCATTTTTTATTGCAGGAGTGGAAGCATTAGTAGCCCGAACAATAAAATCCCATACGATTTTGCCGGGTGGTTTTGTGCGCCAGCGCCGGTGCATCTCTCTTACTGTACAGAATCTGTCGGATGCAGTTGAATCCATCGTGAGAAGCATTCACCGTGGCCGTGCATATTTCATCCGACAATGCTCTGAACTAGTCGCATCTGGTTGTTTGCAGCGCAGTGGCCCATATATGACTGACGACTGGAGAGTGATGTTGACGCAGCTGGGTGCCGACACGACCTGTGTAGATTCCAACGCGTGGGCCTTGATCGACATTGACGTTGCCGCCTCTAGACGTGAAAGCCAGATCAGCCAGATCCAGCCGGGCAGAGCGATCGTGCTGAGAAAACGTTCTGATTCCAAGTGTAATATTGCGAGGAGTTTCCAGGACATGAGGCAGCAATATCTTCTATCAATGATACCGGAGAAAAACCCCAATCATATTTTTTTCAGGGCTGTAGGGCAATAGGGCTATATGGGCTATAGGGCTATAGGGCTGTAGGGTAATAGAGCTGCAGGGCTATGGGGCTATGGGGCTATAGGGCTGCAGGGTAGAGGGGTATGGGGCTATGGAGCTATAGAGCTGTAGGGCTATAGGGTTATAGTGCCTTGCAGGCCATCAAGCAGTGTTTCTTCAGGTACTTGCATGTGTGGTCGGAGCAGTGCAGAGCTATCTTGGATGGGAATACGCTTGTCGAGAAGACGCTGCGATTGCTGCAGGGGTGCATTGGGGGCATCTTGCCCTGCGACGCAACCGGCCGCGACCTCGACAACTCCGTCGGCGTCCCGATAAAGTGCGGGCGCCCTGCGATGGCAGTGGACGTGCCCGAGGTGTTGCCCAAGTCCGATGCCGCCCGGCGCATGGTCGAGACTAAGCAGAAGAAAGATCTCTCTTCCACCCCCCTTGCAGACTTACGCAAGCAGGCTGCTGGCTTGTCAGGCTCTCCAGAAGGTGCTGCAGTGGGCAACAAGGGCAATATCGCCAACCTGTTATTCAACGCCCATGTGAAGGAGACGACAGAGAACGACGATCTCAATCGCGCTATGTTCACACATTTATGTGACAATATGATGGCCACTGGCAAGCTCGAAGTTGGCGCGGCTATATCGACCAACCAGTTCAAGGCTGCCACGTCGCAAGCTGGGCCCGAGGAAGCAGCGGATGGCGACGACGTTGTACATGTGCAGCTGGATGGCATCGATTACCAGCTCTTGTTTTATGGCATGACAATGTCGGGGAACCTTGCGCGCGATCTTACCGATGCCGTTCAAGACTCTTGGATTGCGCATGACATCGAGGGCGTGCCGGACAAGAGCGTCGCCGCACGGGTCAAGACGGAGACGAATGAACCTGAGGGGAAGGACGAGTCGCCTGGGGTTGTTCGCGTTGCTCAGCCTGCCGTGCCGCCTTCGGACCTTGGGCCGGCTTCGGCGGGTGCCGAGGTCGCGGCGGCAGGGTCTGAGGCGGCCTCGGCGGGTGACAAGGGCACCGAGGTCGTCGCCGCCGTCGCCGAACCATGTGGGCCTCGTGAGCCAGGGTGTTTAGAGGACGTGGGAAGCACATCGTTGCGCTTTGCCCCATCAGGCAGAATCCGAAGCTGTTCATGGATTTCAAGGGTGAGGGCGCGAGCCGAGTGAAGCTTTTCTTCGTTGGCAAAGTTGTGGTATCCGCTACCAGCCAGCTGCAAAATGCCGCGGGGAAACTGATTGCAGGCATCCCCATTGGCAACGTCGACGTCGAGGGGATCAACTACCACCTGCTCATGGTACAAGACCCTGCGTTGTCGAACCCTCAGGGCGCCCTGTGTGCTCCGGCATGGTGTGTGCGTGTGCAGAGAGACCCTGCGAAGATCGACGTGGAGGTTTGGCTCTGTACGACCATCGTCGACTTCCCTGAAAATATCATTGAGGGGTCCAATGCAAAAGGATTGATTATTCAGATCACCGTCCCGTACTTGAAGTCGAATCCGCTCGTGAGTTCGGAGGCTCAGCAGGCGGACGTCCAGGAGCTGGCGACAGGTGCTGCTGAGTATGACCTCTCCAAGCCCGTCAAGGGTCAAGGAGGCAGTGGGGAAGCCAGCGGTGAATGTCGACCTGGCTGATCTAGAACTGCAGAGTGCGTCGGGGTTCAGCGCGGAAGGAAGGAAGAGAGGAGGGGGAGAGGAAAAGGAGGGACGAGGAGGAGGGGATGAATCATCTCGCTCGACTGTGCGTCGCTCCACGTTTGCCAGGTCTCTGATGTTTTATGTAGGACAGAGTCATGGTGTGGACGGTACGCGCGTGGCCATGGGTGTGGAGCTGTCTTGCTGCAAGCCTCTCTAGCTGGGCGGCTCTGGCTGACGTTGCGACGGAAATTCTGTTCTGGTGAGAATTGGTTTTGGGCCGTCGATTTCGAACAACAATTTCAAGGGCCGGGATGGCCCACAGCGTTGAGACATAGGGGCAGTGATGACAGCAAGCTGTAAAGACAGGGAACAACACCTAACATATCATACAGTAGCAACTTCATTTTCCACATACCTCACGCCACCACTCCCTCTCCTTCGCCATTTGTCCGGACCTCTCTCTGAAGAGACCTCCGAAAACAATTATTGACTTCCTTCTAGGGCTCCTGCTTCCTCCTCCTCATTTCTTGCGTTTAAGGCCTCCCTGGGACAGCAAACGCGTTGCCGCCCCAGGGGCTTTGGAAACAGCCCCGAGGCAGTTTCGGCCATTATCACTCCTCCTCCTCCTCCTCCTCCTCCTCCTTATCCTCCTTCTCCTCCCCTTCCTCCTCCTCCTCTCCTCCTCCTCCCCCTTCTCCCTCCTCCCGTTGCCCCCCTCACTTTGCCACACCCTTCACACGTTTCGTGGCCGCATAGGGAGATCCACCGAAGGCCCAGATACCAGCGTTCGCATACTCCACCGCACCCATTTTGGCGCACCCCTCAAACATTTTCGTGGCCCCGTAGGGAGCTCCACCGAGGGCCCATATGCCAGCGCTCGCATGCTCCCACCGCACCCATTTTGGCCCCTCCCTCACACGTTTCGTGGCCCCACAGGGGACTCCACCGAAGGCCCACATGCCAACGCTCCCATGCGCCCATCGCGCCCATTTTGGCGCACCCCTCACACATTTCGTGGCCCCATAGGACTCCATGGAAGGCCCACATGCCAGCGTTCGCATGCGCCCACCGCACCCATTCTGGCGCACACACACACACACACCACACGTTTCGTAGCCCCATAGGGAGTTCCACCGAAGGCCCAGATGCCAGCGGTCGCATGCTCCCACCGCACCCATTTTGGCACCCCCCTCACACGTTTCGTGACCCCACAGGGAGCTCCACCGAAGGCCCACGGAGGAGGAGGAGGAAGAGGAGGAGGAGGAGGAGGAGGAGGACGAGGACGAGGAGGAGGAGGAGGAGGAGGAGGAGGAGGAGGAGGAGGAGGAGGGGGAGGAGGAGGAGGAGGAGGAGGAGGAGGAAGGGGAGGGGGAGGGGGAAGAGGAGGAGGAGGAGGAGGAGGTGGAAAAACCTAGCGTTGAATTCACGAGAACGCGCGCGCATTTAATTGAACATCCGCGTTGCGAAACCTTGTCTTGTGTTTTAAAAAATTGGACGGTAGATTCTGGCACCTGACCGAAACCGCAGGTTTTGAAAGGATTTCGGCATGCGCGCGTGATGACGCGCGCGCGTGCACTTCGTCCCCATGTTTTGCTAAGGGCCTTTTGAAGACACGGTTTTTGATACACGAATGCGCGCGCATAATATGTTTCGTGCCCCCATGTAGCTCCACGGAAGGCCCACATGCCAGCGCTCGCATGCGCCCACCGCGCCCGTTCTGGCACACACACACACACGCACACATCACACGTTTCGTGGCCCGTAAAGGGGGGCTCCATCGAAGGCCCAGATGCCAGCGCTCGCATGCGTTCACCGCGACACTTTGGCACCCCCCTCACACGTGTCGTGGCCCCATGGGGAGCTCCACCGACGGCCCAGATTCACTTTCGTGGGCCCCGCTGCTCCTATTTCCATTGCCGCTCCGATTCCCACTCCGGCTTTTTCTCCCGCGTGTACTCCGTTCGCGTTTGTTAGCTTCGGCTCAGCTTCGCGCGACCGAGGATTTCGGCTCCGAGCTGCGACCTGGCGCGTTAGAGCGAGAACGGCGGCGTGGCAATAGTGGGGCGGCGGTGCTGACGACGGGGCATCAGTTTCAGAGACTCAGAGAGATGACGCCGTGGCTGCGCAGACGCGCGGACGCGCGTCGCGTCTCTCTTTCTGGCCGTGAGCGTGGGCTTGGGCCTTCCAACAGTCCCCGTGCGACCCTTCCATCGAAGAGGAGAAACACTGCAGAAGCGTAACCCTTCGGAGGTTTGCGCGGACTTCTCGGATCGGCGCCAGGGCCCCCGTAGCGCCGCCCCTGGCGCCGCCCCTGGCGCGCGGCGGGCCCAGCGCCAGTCCAAGAAAGCAGCGCGAGCCGCCGCAAGCGATCGCCTGCGCAGTCTTCCTCCGGCCCAGGCTTTTTCAAGGCCTCTGCCCTGCCGGGGGCTCCCGGGGGGGCCGCGGCCTCCCGACGCGTGCCTCCCAAGGCTTCCCAGGGGCCCCCAGGCTTTCAGTGTAGCGCCCTCCCAGGGTTCCCCATGAGCTTCTCAGTGGGGAAGCCCCCGGGGGCGCAGGGCTTCCCCGTGCCTGCCAAGGGCCCAGCGCCACTCCAAGAAAGCAGCGCGAACCGTCGCAAGAGGCTTTTTCAATGCCCTCGTCCTGCCGGGGGCTCCCGGGGGGCCCCGCCATGATTCCGCGGCCTCCCGACGCGGCCACCCAAGGTTTCCCAGGGCCCCCCAGGGTTTCAGTGCAGCGCCTTCCCGGGGTTCCCCATGAGCTTCCCAGAGGCGAAGCCCCCCCGCCCTCCGGGCGCAGGGCTTCCCCGTGCATGCCGAGGTCTCCCCGAGCTCCCTCTGCTTCCCAGGCGTCTCGCAGGGCCTCCCCGGTTTCAGTGGCTCGTGCGCGAAAGGCCGCCCGCCCGCAGGGAAGGAGAGTGACGGCGCTTCCAGCGCCGCCCCTGGCGCGCTCCGCTCGCCAGGGAAGGGGGGGTCCAGCGCCGATCCAAGGAATCCGCGCGGACCTCCGACAGCTTCTTGCTGCAGTGGTCTCTTCTTCTGTATCCAGCCCACCATTGCTGCAGATGTGTCGTTCCGAAGCTCTGGCTGAAGTAGAGGGTGCCATCGTCTGCCATGTTTTAGCCTGCCGAGCAACTGGCGTCTGTGGGGTGCGCCGCAACCCTCTTGCATTGCGATTGCATTTGGACTCTTGCTGGCCCTGGTCGATACTCGCATCAACGCTGCGTGGCAATGGCCATTTTGTATCAAGCCTTCTGCAATCAGTTCATCTGGCTCCAACACTCGCCTTGCGTACTGAAATTGAACTAGCGATAACATGGCATCCTCCAGAACCTCCATCCTGTGTGTCCTGGCATGTGCTAGCGGCATGCCCACCGCGATGTCTATCAGGGCAGGTCTCAGTGCTAATGATACGGTTGCACGGGCCACGACAGCGCCATACACAGTCTCGCGTGGCAGCTCGACGTGCGCGTCGGGGTACACCGTCTCAAGGGGCGACCAAGATGAGTGCGTTGCAGCGTGCGAGTACTTCATTGCGACAGGCCTCATCGTTGGCCTCTCAGGGTGCGTTGACGACGTGGGTCATTATCCCAACACTTACGGTGCGGAATGGACAGCAACTGCGTACTGTGTCCTACTATCGAAGACCCTACTGGTGAATCGCCGCCGCCCCCTGACTTTTCGAAGCGCCTCTGCGGCCGAACGTTGCGGCCCGAGCTCGGCCAACCTATCGGACCGTGTGTTTTCCACCCGTTGTGGAAATCCTTCGGGGAACATGTGTGGGAGAAAGGGGGATACGGGGAGAGGGAGAAACAAACAGAAGGAGGAGAAGGAGGATGAGGAGGAGGAGGAGGAGGAGGAGGTCTTGTGAGAGCCTCTTGGGGCACGCTTGGGGTTTCCTTGGGCCTCTCGAGGGCCTTTGGAGGCTTCTTGGGATTCTCTTTGGCCGTTTGAGGGCGTTCCTGGCCCGTCTGACGTCGTCTTGGGGGCCTCTCTGAACCGACGCAGGGCCATCTTGAGCGACTTGGGGGTCTCCTGGGTTGCCTTGGGGCATCCTTGGGGGCCGTCATGGGGGCCTCTTGGGTCGTCAGGGGGCCATCTCGGAGGCCTCTTGGGCGCTCTTGGGGTCACTGTGGTGGCCTCTTGTGCTGCCTTGCGCCGTCGGAAAGCCGAACATGAGCAAATGCACAAACCCTTCAGACACCGATGGAATATCATTGGTTTGGGCCTCGATGGGCCTTCCTGGAGGTCCTCGTGGAGGCCTCTTGGGCCGTCTGGAGGGCCTCGTGGGGGGCCTCTTGGGCCGTCTTGAGTCAACGTAGGCGCATCTCGGCGCGTCTCGGAGGCACTTTCGGGTTATCTTGGGCTCTCTTGGGGGCACCATGGCCGTCTCGAAGGCCATCTGAGCCGTCTTGGAGGCCTTCTCGGGGCCGTCTTCAGAGGGTGGGCCAATGGAGAACTAATTTTCAGGTGGGCGGCGCGATCGGCCTAGAGCCTACTGGGAGTTCTCTGGGGCTATCTTGGGGCCATCGTAGCC